CGATTCGTAATGACTGTCGAAAATAGCACGTAGACGCGGCTCAGAAGGGAAATCGATCTGTAGTTCTTCAAGAGAGCGTTGTCGCCTTTCTTGAAGAACAAGACCACCGCACTTCTGCTTCACGTCTCCGCAGTAGTGCCACCATGGAGGACGGAGTTAAAGAGCTTCAGAAGGACTTTAGGTTTTTTCCCCGCTTTTAGATGCTCTGCTGTAATTCCATCCTCGCCTTTGGCCTTGTCGTTTACTTATAAGCTTATTATATTAGGCTTTAAATTAATATTGCTTTCTCTGTACGATTAACGGATTCACGTAACTTAATCGGGGTAAACACAGATGACACGTGTTTGATTACATCTCGCAAAAAAATAAGTAGCTCAGCTAGCGGTCTTGATGCACCGTAACACATTTGGATAAAATTTCACAGCTCATTGAGGTTAACGTTTAACGTAGCGTTTCGTGCATACTTAAGAGCAAAATATGGAAACATGGCAGTAGCATAAAAACATTTGCGCAAGTGCCATTGTCTAGGAAGAAAGCAAAGAAATACGTTTGTTTGTTAATAGTAGTTTGTCAATCATACGTACATCCATAAATGCTCACGGCTGTCTTCCACAGGGGTAGAGAGAGACTACGGACTTCCATTTAGCACGACTCTGACACAACTCTTCCACTTCCTTGACGTTCATGTACCTACGACTACATGTTTGCACATTAATCTTTTTATTAAACGAAGTCATCCGAAGGGCTCTTGTCTCCATAAATATTCCCTCGATGTTAGAGCCTTGCGTGAGAGTCCCTTGGGGGAGAGGTAAAGCCCTAGTGTGGGATGCTACTTGCGTTGACACTTTGACGGCGTCTCACCTTTTTTTTTATAGAAGAGGGGGCAAACGAGCATGCGGCTCACCTGATGTTAAGTGACTACCGCCGCCTATGATCAACCGCAACACCAGGGGAATTGCAGGTGCGTTGCCGGCCCTTTAGAAAGGAGTAAGCTCTTTTCTTGAAGATCCCCAGGTCGTATCGGTCCGGAAAAATCGCTGGTGGTAAACTATTCCACAGAGAGATTGTACGCGGAAGAAAACTACTTTTAAAACGTACAGTGGTGGACCGCCAAGCATCCAGATAGTGTGGATGGTATCGGGACGTTTGCCGCGTGGTGCGTTCACGAAATTTGGCGGCTAGGATTAATCCGAACAATTTCTCAGAGCACTCTCCATGGTATATGCGAAAGAAAATGCAAAGAGATGCAACACCTCTTCGCAGCGCCAGTGAATCGAGCCGATTGGAAAGCACTCGGTCGTCGACAATTCGAGCCGCTCTGCGCTGGGTGCGGTCAAGTGGAAGGAGCGGGTACTGGGGAGCCCCAGCCCAGAGATGGGAACAATATTCAATGTACGGCCGAAACTGCGCCTTGTAAAATTGCAGGCGGTGTGCCACCATGAAATACTGTCCCACTCTGCTGAGCACGCCAAGCTTTTTAGAGGCCAATTTGGCCTTCTCTTCCAAGTGACCACGAAACTGCAGTAAGCAACTAGCAACGAATCTCTAGCCATTTGGACGTCGTCGAAGAGTCGCTCTGTTTCCGCATTACCGCTACGGGACCTATAGGCACCCGTAGACGCGCGGATGGTCGTCGCTGTCCACGCGTAGCCAAAGGATGGACAAGTCCGAACCTTCAAGTCTGCCGAGGCGTCGAGAACAGATGTCCTCTCTGACGTAAACGCAAACTCCAGCCCGAGGCACAAAGGAGTGTCTACTCCGGGCAGGAGAGATACGAGACATCAGCCGGACAGGACACCTGCGTCTCGGTCAGAAAGAGCAGAGCCGGCCTCGCCGTCTCGAGAAGGTAGTGGACAGCGTTTAGGTTAGAGTGAAGTCCCCTGATATTGCAGAAATTCACGGATAGCGTGGCAGGGGTCGCCTTGGTCTTGTTGCTCCGTATGCCCCGAACAGTTGTAGTCTTGAGCGGAATTTGCCCCCCTCCCCCAGAATACGCGGGGCAGCCTGAGCACCCACGCTCAGAAGTGGAGAAACAGGGTCGTGGATGCTCAGCGAGGGATTCTCCAGGGGTGCTGGTACCCTCCTGGGGTAGTCTATCATCATTTAATTCCGCTACCATGTTGATGGGGGGGGGGGGGATTTGGGCCGCCGGCCACCTCCACTCACCAGACGAAACGCGGAAGCAGAGCTTTCACTTCACGCTGGTGTTCTGTGAGGTCGTGGTACCACCCCTGTTTGAGCCGGCCCATGTGGGGAGGCCTATGTTCAGCAGTGAACTTTCGATAGGCTGTAATAGTGGCTCAATTTTCCGTGGCGCCTCTATGCCGGACGCTCTGAGAGAGTTTTTGAATTGGAATTTAAGGAGGAAAATATCAACAAATTTCATCATAGCACGCTGCTGACAAACGAAAACGCAACCTATTAAGGTGAACTGGGCGCCAAAAGCAGATTTTTTAAGCTTTATAGGTGCGCATAAAAGCAATTTTTTGTCATTAAAAACAACGATTCAACATTTTTTTTATTCATTATGAAAGTTAAAGATTTTTCTTAGTGAGTTATGTTGGCCAAAACACGGTTGACACATTTTGGCTCGATGGAAAAAGATCGCAAAGTTTCCTCAAAATCTACAATTTTAGGTACGTCCACTAAGTGAAAAAGCTGTTTCATTCGAATGGAATGAAATTAACTAAATTCAAGCTATGTGTTCACCAGTAAATATGTGAGAGAATTGTGAGTTTATTTTTCAATAAAAAAGTAAATATAATTTTAAAAAGAAATATCAAATAAATATTGTGTGATTAAATAGCGCGCGAGCCGACCAAACAGTCCATATAAAGCGTGAAAAATCTGCTTTTGGCGCCAACTTCACCTTAATGCCAAAAGTCATCCAAAAATTTCAAACCAGCATTATCAGAAATGAAAATATTGGCAAATATCAAATTAGAAAAAGAAAAACAAAGACCTTTTTTATTATTATACATGGCAGAGCCATGCTGCCGTTATATTAGTAGTATAGTTGTAGCACGAATGGGTCGGCTCGACCGGGGAAGGGGAGAGATGGTGCTCTCACAGAATACCTGCGTAAAATATTAGCTTAATGCTGCTGTGTTTTCGTAATCGAGGATAGATGTAGATTTCTATGGGCCACAGCAACCACCACTTACCATCAGGTGGACTGTGTGATCGTTTGTCACCCTATCTTATAAAAAAAAAACAATTAATTTTATATGTAAAATATTCAACTAAGTTTATGTTGGGGTACTCCTTGACATAAATATAACTAATATTTCGATAGTGGCCGTTTGTTTATCTCAGATCGTGGTTGATTGTTTATCTCCTCAATGTATGAGGTAATACCGTAAGTTGAAGGTAGGCTGTCGGCCGAATTAATTCAAGGGCAGACAATATTAACGCAGTGGACGTTTTGTGAAGGTTAATTAATTTTGAAATATAATTATAATGAGTTTCTCAACTGTTGTAAGGACAATTTTTTAACGGAAACCTGAAAACTATGAGGAACTATCGGTTTTGGCACAACTATAACTTTCACTTAATATTTACCATAAAATTAACTTTGATAACCTTTTTATCGGCGTTATTGTATGCTAAGATTTTGGCAGGTTATGTCGAATTTTTCGAGATTTTGACTTATTGAGTTCTAAAGATAATAAATCTGATTCACAAGGCTTCTTTATAATGAAGCAGAGTTACAGCCTGTTTACATCAAACACGAGCACAGCCCATATCTCATTTCTGATCCAATTTTATGGCAAGGGACAAGGAAATGTCCGCCACTCTGTCATTTTGCTGTTGGCGGACTTCTCAAGTCTTCGAAACATATACTTAACATTGTAATATTTTATTTTTCCATAATAACCCAGTGCTTAACTAAATACTGTCCCACCCGATGGTAAGTAGTGATCCTGCTAAAGATGCGCACTAAGCCAACATTGCCCAACATTTGACGCTGGTATTCTGTGAGAGCGTGGTCCTTCCCCGATGGAGCCGACCCATTCGTGCTACAATTATACAATTTATATAGATGCAGCATGGCTCTACCACGTGTATATATACAATATGTAACGTAATTAACTCCTCAGACACCCCAATTAGTATATTATGTTATAATCATAATACATACACTGAATTTTTAGTTAAAAATTTTTATGCACTGATTATTTACCAAATTAGTTATACTAATTCCGGAAGAATGTTGAGGTCACAGTACAAATCCACGAAACCAAAGACTTTAACGTGCTTGAAATAAAGTTAATTTTTCTTTATTTTTATTGAATGACTGAATTAGTAATAATACAAATAAAACTGCACTCTTAAAAGTCTTATTGCCATAAGTTACGGTTCATTTCATTTTGTTCTGACTGTACAGATGTAGTGTGACTGTAATTTACGTAGTTTTAATTATTTTTGGGATAAAAAATTACTTAAATTAAAAATGATAGGAATCGATTCAGTAAACGATTCTGAACAAACTACTTTCTCAAAGTGCGTTAATTATGTTACATGTTGATGTATATATATATATATATATATATATATATATATATATATATATATATATATATATATATGCATTATACTACTTCTGCCAATTTATTATGTTCCCTTGCTGTACGCATTATGAACGATGAAGCAAACCGTTTGGTTCAAAGACGTGGTATGTCGACAAGGAAGGGATGGAGGCCAGCCGAGGGTCGTGTGGTCCGATAATGGAACAGAGAGGTACACAAGCAGGTAGGAAGGCAGGCAGGTTCTCTCGATGTTTTGTTTTAATGCCGATCACATAAAATATGACAATGATGATAATGATGAAATTAAGTGTATCAAACGAGCATACAGCCCCAATGCTTTCATCAAATTGCTTTTCGATACAATCCGTATACACTAGAACCTCATTTCCCATCTGTCTAGTAGTGAGACTACGATATTTAACTTTCACCTAACTGATTTCAGGCAGGACTTTCGGGTTGCGGTTTAAGAAAATGGCTCAGGCGCTCATCCCACTGGTCTTCCAGATGGGCGCAGCTGCTACGTGGGCCGTTGTGGCTGCCCTTGTCGGCATCAAGACTCTGGGTGTCACCCTGATTATTCTCAAGCTGCTACTAGTAGCCGGCGCTCTCAAGGTATTGGGAGTTTATGCGAGTATTATTATTAATTTAAAAAAGTTGAGGTCACTGGCATTAGAATTTGATTTTACTAACAGACATGTTAGTATGTTGGTCTAGATTCTTTCAGACAATTCTAAATCATCGCAAATCTCTAAGAATTTGCCATCTGTTTCGTGTCTTAGGCGCTGCTCACCGTCGCATCTTTGTGTCAATCTAAATCTTACCAGAGATGGTCATACCGCCACCTATCAAAAGTCATAAGATTTTTATGGCATTTCCTGTAGTTACCTATAGGGATTACTCATATATAGTATATATAGTACATATGTACTAGATCATCTATTACGACACCTTTAGAACCAAACTGGGTAATGAATTCTCTAACACGCCACCACACTGTGCGGATTTACATAATATTAATTATTTGGGGAGCTAGATTAGTGTTACCCCGACATTTTAAGTATACAGGTTTTATGTTATATCCAATAAAATACTTCAAACTCCAAACTAATTACTAAAATTTTCATCTTTACTAATAACAAGGCAATAAATACGTCTTGCTTGATTTATTAAAAGCTCTTTATTTATTTATTCATGTAAAACTTTATATTCACGTGGTATATAGGCGGACTTAATGCCTGAGATATTCTCTATCAGTCTACCTTTAATGATTTCTAAATATTTTCTCTATTGACTACAACTATGATAAATATTATTTGACTTAGATATTCTGTTTTAAATAATCGACATCCCTGTTTCTTTGAATCATAGAAAGTAGCTTTCACTTGTTCAACACATATTGACGGAACTGTGATGTCATAACAAAGACACTTGCTAAACGCTAAACGTACACATTTTACCTTTGACACCGTTTCAATTCCTATTCTTCCATTCCTAAAAAATTGTATTTTATGGAAATACGAGCATTCGTTCTCTAAACAACGGTTCTTTGCGTAAAAAGAATGTCGGGAAGAAATCGCTTCCACATCGATAAGATGGCCTATTGTACCTTCTTTATTATATATTTTATTTTGTTTTTGTTTTAATGTGTACAAGAGTACAATAAAGTATATGTGTAATGTATTGATTGGTTATATATACTGATTGATTGAGATATTATACTCGTACATATTGCATTAGTTTTGAAACCACTTGTATGAGCGTCCTTATTTTACATAAATGATATAAAATAATTATTTAATGGATTACTAAGCTGTTAAAATACAATTCCTTTGATTCAACAAAACTACTGATACAAAGTCCATACATAAAAACTCTTCTATTTGGTATAGTTACGACATTATTTGCAGTGCATTCTTCACATGCACGTTTTATATATCTAGACGTCCAAAGAGTATGTATAATTGAATTTATTATCTTTAGAATTTTTTCGTGTATCATGGTCTTACATATATTAATCCGACACTATTCAAATAAAAAAAAGTTCCTACGAAAGTCGATCACGAATCTTTGTTATATAAAAACAATATAATCGCTAATATTATTTTGAATTTTAGATTGGCGCCTTGTTTGGTCATAAAGGACATCATAGTACTGGCTGGGAACCATCTCATCCACCGCAGAAAGAAATCCATTTACACATACACAACGGCCACCATGGACATAGCGAGCCCGAAGAACACGTTCCATTTTGTAAGAATTTTTGACCTTACTAATCCTCGATAATCGCTTACTATATATTAATCACGGAATATAAAAAACAAGAGGAAGTAGATAGCAAAACGCATCATTTGTACCAAAACGTCATAGATTACTGTGTATATACTATACCATAGACTTAGAATATACTGGCGTATCGTAGACAGAGAAACCTATAGATAAATGATTAGCGTGGCCTCGAGTGAGAAAGGACGATAACGTAGTTTTAGGTTATACAATAATCTTTATGACTTTTAAACATATTTAGATACAATTTTTAATTGTTCTAAGAACTGAGCTGAACAAGATTCATCAATCTTAAGCTCACAGAACACTTTTATTCTCACTTAAACTAACTTGTAAACTCGAACTGTCAAAGTTATTTAGCAAAGAATAGTTTGCTAAACAATAAAACCGGCACGGAAAAAGGGACAAACAATCTCACCGCTCTGTCTCATTTCTATGCAAGACGTATGCATAAATCTATCTTTTTCGTGTTCGAATGCGAAAGAAGGCATCACTTTATCTATAGGTTTCTCTGTCTACGTGGCGTATTAGACGACTTGACAGCCCGAAAACGCCTGACCAATTTTTATTTGTCATTGTGTGCGTTAGCTAGTGATGTATATTTTACTTACAAGAACTATCGATTTTTTGTTAAGAAGGCGGTAAAATCTTATATAACTAGTTAAGTGCATGAAACTGAATAATTTCAAAAATTAACTGAATTTGTAACATGATATTCTAAAATAATTAAAAAAATCATATAACATGTTCCCGAAAATAAGCAGCAACTGCCTGCGTTTTGTTGAATTTTAATTCAAAATGTACAAAATCTTACTAATCTCTGAATAGATAAGTATACGGAATAAACTTAAACAATTTTAAGAATCAGATCGGAATATTGTGTTTTCGAGCTATGACATTTGGAAATAAATATTCCAGTTTTCGGCTGCTGGATGTGGAACTTTGTCTTTTCCTGAGAAATAGTGCGGCGTATTATATATAATAATCATATATGGGTCATGAAGATTTTGCAGTAGTGTTAAAAACCACTGCTTGAACTTTTCGAAATTCATCTCCTCATGATCTTCTGTGGTTTTTGTTGATTTGAAAGCCAACAAACAATTGGTTACGAAACCGTCTGTCATTCCTGCGTACGCAATAATCAGGCGTTGTCCTTTGCCTTCGGGCACTTTGGTGACAGATTGTGCCGTGTCGTCAGTCCACGCTTTCGGTACAGTGGGGTTAGCATTAAGCCACGTTTCGTCCAGAAATACGACTTTATCCCAATTTGAAATATGTTAGGCTTTTATCAAAAAGTCCACCCATGCAATATCTGTGCGCTCTATTATTATTTTTCTTTTATCGCATTTTATAAGCTAAGCTAATTTTGTCTAGTATAGTGGCCAATGACTGCAAACTGCCTTTAGATAAATCAGTCTAAGGGACACTATTAATTTTCTTAATGTTGGATATTCAACACGTCTATAATACGCGTATACATGGTTGCGTAATGTGGCTGCATCAAAGTCATCAATCGCAGTGATACTCGAAATTCCTCTTCTTTTCTTATTTGGCGTCGACATTTTTTTCCGTGTCTTCCTCTATTGCTTGAGTTGATGATGGCTTGCCATACTTTTCTTGCGTTATACGAGACACTTTCGTACAACCGATGCCAAGAGCATTCGCAACTCTGTCACCAACTTGGGTTACAAGCAACAACGATCCGCCATTTGACACTCACGTTCGAAATAATCTCGCAAGCGAACCACAAATTCGCGACATTCGCAATTCAAATAGTGTTTTTTATAATAGTGAATGTCGCGAATTTTATAACGAAAAAATCAAAAAAACAGTAGATAGTAGAAGATAACAAAAACTGAATGAAAGCGTATACAAGGCACTAACGGCGCGGTGTCAGAACTCGTACTGATTACAAAATGGAAAATGTCTGACTGATAGAAGGATGGCAGGTTGTAGTGTTGCCACAATCTTGGTTTAATAAAGTAATATAATTTTTTTCAGCTTCCTGGAGCAGAGACGGTGTACGGAGTAATCTTGAAATGAAAAATGTCAACGTTGCATATGAACCTTATGTTGCTGGACCACAAACAATAAATACACCCTACGGAAATTACGTCAAAATTGATTCTAGGCCCAATGCACATGTTGTAAAATAAGTATTATTATGTTAATAAGGCAGGATTTATTTTAAACACATGATATACCGAAGTAATTAGTATATTCCTTGTTTAATTTAAGAAGAGAAAAATGTATCGTTAGAGGCTTTTTTATTTATAAGAACGATCTAATAAAACAATAGATTTTTTTTTAATTAGATCCGTTAGAAACGTTTGGTCTATCTAAAGTTACCACTGCAGCTTTTGTCCAAGGAGGGAATGAAGGTGAAGGGAAAAAATTGTGTGTAATCAAATGTATATTGCCACTAGCGCCTATATAAAGCTTATCGGATTTCATTTATGGTTGCCAACTATGACGTATTTATTATACCTGACGTTTTATAACATTTATTAGTGTTATACTATATTAGTGGTCCAAATAATATGATTCTAGGATAAAATGTAAATAGCAGACTATGATACTACTATATTTTATTATAAAGGCTGACTATGGGATAAAACACACAAAAAGATGTATACTATTTATTAATATGTATTTAAAAATAAAACATAAATTATTATTTATTGCGATTATACTGGTAACAGCCTCGAATATATTTGATAAAAAAGTTGGCAACCCCACTCTTACTTCTCTCAAATCGAAATCGGCACTGGATAGTGGATATATAGCAACTTGGCGACAGTAATAGAAGGAAGGGTTGGACCAACTCAGACAGACTCCGCGGTTCTCAGACAGCTCTAGCATCTAGTGAAAAAATGTTCTCTAACAGCATGTTTAATGTTAAATGTTAAGGCCAATCACTTATTTTGTTACGGCCATGTAGTTGTCAAATATGGAAACTAAATACGTATATTTTAGTTACATATTTTAATAAGACGATTACTCCAGAGACTATATTATCACTGTTTACTCATCAAATAGAAATCATACATAATTATAAAATGCAGAGGGCATATTTTTCAATCCCTCTTAATGAGAGTTTTTCGTTGAAATAAAAAGAACACCAATAAAATAAAAAATACAATTGTATAAATAAAATAGTTCAATTGTTACACTTTTATATTCAGTTAGCTTGTATATATAAGCTAACTTTAATCTGATAATTTAATAAACAACTCTAAAATAAGTTTCTTTTCTACAAAGATCAATTGCGATTCAAACTAAATTGTTAGTGCTAATCGGCGCAAACTATTATTGTAAGTTATTTAATAATTTTCCATATTATATTAAAAATGACTGTGCTTGTTGCACTATTCAATTCGTTTCATAGTTTAATAATAATATCATACTTACCTATTATCTTTAAGATCATAATTCATACAAAATCTTAATGTAAATCTGTATTTTTTGACATCTATACATTTTTGTTAGTTACCTTAAATATGGGTCCCATGTTGGTCTGGGTCATCTGGTCATCCCACGTTTATGTGGGCCTTTTGAAAAAAATATACTTTAACTTGCCTAGCATGTCGTGAAAGGCGAATATTGAAATTTGAAGGTTTGTGATTGTGTGATGGTACCGAACTAATATTGCTTCTACAAGTTCCTTCTGTTCCCATTTTTGGGCTAAATGTGGTTCTAGTAGCTCGCTTTTTGGACTCTCTTGGGAATTACAGGCGTGAAGCTATGTATGTATGAATGTTTATGTAGAAGTGATTGCTTAGATAATTGAAATAAAAACCAAATATTAACTAAATGATGTTTTAATCTCCTTTATTCCGGTATACAGCTTAAAGGACCGACAACCGATGGGGAAGAAAGTTTTTCGAGCGTTTCGATAGTATTGGCAAGCGCAGTGTGTGGCCCCCAAGTAGATGGTCCGTGATGTGGTTGCTCAAGACTGTAAGCCTTTGTTCTACAGATGACTTTTGATAGGTTTTAATGATGATGAGGATAATAATGATGACTATTGAACTCCCTAATTACGTGGGTCTTTACGTGGTAGAGCCACGTTACAGCTTTGCTAGCTATAAATAGCGGTAATAATAATAATAATTATTTATTAAATTAATATATGTTTAAATGGCGGTTAAATATAACAAATTAGGGAAAAATTTATCTATTTATTATCAAAATGTTCGCGGACTGAGAACAAAATGTTTACAACTGCGACAGCAAAGGAGACAATCAATTTTTGTATGGAGAATGGGCCCACCACAAATTTTCGCGTCACGCAATGAAATGGATGTCGATTTATTCCTTATAATTTATAGTTTACAAAAGTAATATTAGTTTTACCACATCTAGACGGAAAATCGAGAAATTGACAATTAAAATATGAATTTTAAAATAACCTATAAATAAACTAAAAGCTATTTATAGTGGTTTTTACCGGTATTTTAAGTTAAAATAGTGCACTGTTGAATAATAGTTCATATAAAACCAAGTTGTAGGTACATTCAGCATTTTCAGGTACTTCAATATTTTTAGTAGTTACGGCAAAATATAGTGCCTGTCTGTGTACAAATGTGGTATGGATACAATTTTTTACATATATTGATTGTGAGTGTACTTCCCAATTACCGTTAAAATAATATGAATAAATTCAAGATGACTAAGGTATAATATATTCATTTATATTTACAATATTACCAACACACGTTATATAGTAAGAAAGATGTTTTAAACTGACTGTGTAAAAAACAAGTTATAATGCAACCGTATTTATAGATGGTAAATCATCATTTCCAACATAGTCTATATAATTCAGACATATAATTCAGATCTATTTATGCAGACAGACAGACAGGCCCGGTGTCAAGACTTTTTTTAATATGCTTTGGTTGATTATTAAATACCTAATTATACATCTTAAAATGACTGGGTTCTAAAATACCAAAATGACTAGGTAATATCATGCTTATCTGTTATTACACACTGATAAATTGTGAGGAAGTAAGATGTTTTGAACTGTTTGTGCCAGGATAACAAACACACAGGTATAGTTTAATTGTATTTATTATTAGCGATCCGCCCCGACTTCGCACAGGTGATTTCTGGATTTCGACAACAGCGCCACCTACCGAGTCCATATGTGAATATGAATCATATAGAGACCCGTTCAAACACACATAAACATATCATCAAAATCGCTTGGATGGTTTCTAACGGACATAGGTAGAAACATTTTTCGTGTTTTCATATCAAAAGATCATATTAAAAGATTTTTTTCAAAATAACTTGATGGTAACATTTCTATTTATGATACGATATTGATATGTAATAAGTCCCAAAGATCATGTATAATCACTGCATTAATTATGGTTAAAATCGTCAGTGTTTTATGAGTCCTCTTTTAAAAATAACACAGCAGACAGGTGCAGTGCCGGCCCTTTGTTCATTAAAGTATTCATCTATTAGCAAGTATAAATCCCATACATCATTAAAATATAATGTCTCGCCCGTTTACGATATTATTAGAAATCAGAAGGATATTGTCAATTAAAAGAGATAAAAAAGGGTGCCAAAGCAATAAATTCAACTTTGCTCGGCGTTTATTTATAAATTACACATATAACATAATATATAACAGATAATAAAGCACACAGTAAAATAGAAATAGTTCAAATAAGCAACAAAAATTACAATTTTTAGTCATCATTATTCATCATCATTACAACAGTCCACTGCCGAACATATGGCTCCTAAATTAAAGATATAATGTAAAATATTACAGAGGCCTTCCGTGAATTGCCATCACGTTCCGTCCCGTATGGTGTCGTTAAAGTCGACAGAATAAAATAAAAATACTAGGAGATGGGGAGCAGCATCTTCCTATAGAATACCACAAAAAACTTTGGTTGCCACAAGTGAAGCAACTATAGCAAAAATGATCATTTATATTACAATATTAATACGCATTAAGATTAATAATCATCATTCATCATTTTCAATATCATTACTTGAAAGTAATATATCATCTAAAAAAAGATGCAGGTGGTTCAACCTCATCTCGATGCCGTGCCCAAGATAGAAACCAGACAACAGACATGACATGTGCACAGCAGCCAACAGTGCGTCTGCCTACCAAACAGTTGCAACAGTACCCAGTAAGAGCAGCCCTAGTGTTAGCAATTGATGGGTTGGTGTCAACTAGTATATAAGTGTAATAAGTTTTTTTACTAGTGTGCCTTGATTGTATCCTACCTCGCAATAGATAACTATTTGGACCAAAATCATGGACAGATTGCAGGTATACCTCGATTTTATATTCTCCAGAAGCCCTGACATGCTCCCCGTAATAACTACGAGCTTGTTTAATTTGATAAATTCCTAGACTAAACAGAATGAGATCCTGGAATGTCAGTTGAGGAAAACTATCCAGCTCTGGAAGATTACCATTAATGCTGGCAAATCGCACTCTCACTCTATTTAAATTGTGCATTTCTACGTAGGAGGCTAAATTATTTGGAGTGTTTAGTTTGGCTTGAGCAATTGCCAATATCTCTACAGCATGAAAATTATTACGAATCAACGTATGAAATCGATTTATTAATGCAGCTGCAATTTTAAAGTATAGCATGAGATGAGTAGATGCAGTATTAAAATATTCCTGACGAAATAATTTGAAGTCCCGTTTAAATCTCCCATTTACAATTTCAATCACCCACCTGCACAAAGTTACACATCTGGACTTGTTGGCAGCAATGGTTGATAATTGTATTTCACCAGCTTGTTTAGATTCAGGCATGTAAGCCTTATAACCACATTGCTGCAAGAATGGAATTGCATCCCTAAAACCTCTATCAAGAATAAATACATCGTTTTCTCTAAAATAGGTTCGCAGTGGACTACTATCGTTGAACAGTCTAAGAATTATAGAAGCATCTGATTCTGTTGCAGGATATGGTCCAAACACATCAAGGATATAACCATTACAGCACACTATTAAAAATGGCTTAACTAAGTTACGATACTTATGTAAACTATATGTTTGCTTCTGGTATAAGTAATTACTACTTTTTTGCACATAAATGTATGTACCATCACATATTACTATGGCTGGCATAAATTCAGGATCCATATCTGGATTACCAAA